TGTGTGTTGGTGTGTGTGTGCGTGTGTGTGTGTGTGTGTGTCTGTTGTGTGCCTGTTTGGGGGTGTGCCTGGGGTTGTGTTACGCCTTTCATATATTCAATCAGTGTCAAAAAACCCACCCCGCGTCCAATTAAGTTTAAGTCACGAAAACATAGATTTGTTCCCAGCAAAACCCCCCCCCCCACACAAACACACACACACACCACCACCACACACCACACACACACACAACACACACACAACACACACACACACACCCCACAACACACACACATACAGTGAGCAGATACCTCAAAGACAAAAGGGGCGGATAACACCCTCCCCATGGGGCCTGAGAGAGGGAGCAGAGGCGCTATTGCACCCCAACAAAATATTCAATACATCAATCGAAACAGGGGATTGCCGAGGCATGGAAGAGAGCAAATGTGGTCCCAATCTTTAAAAAAGGAGACAGTCTTGAAGCACTAAACTACAGACAGTGTCACTGAACATTTATAGTAATCAAAAAGTCTGGAGAAGATTATCAGAAGAAGAGCTGAGTGGAACACCTTAGTAAATGAATGCGTGAATCTCAATCAACAAGTCAGCCCAACAGTGTTTCAGGTCGGTAAATCCATTGTTCATCAAAACCAACTTAGTTCTATGACCATGGTGACAGCAGTAAGACAAGAGAGAGAGGGTGAGTGGATTTGCAATTTCTGTGGACTGCACAAGGCGTTTGACACAAGTTTTTACTACAAGAGATTATAGTGCAAAAACTGGAGGATACGTGGAAGGCACTACAATGGATCAGGGAGTACAAGTTAGAGAAGACAGCAGCGCGCGATGTTACTAATTGTGACCAACGTGGCGAGGGTGTCAGAGTGGGCACCTGTGACCAGCGTGGCGACGGTCTACCCCACAGGGGTCGTCCTAAGGACCAGTGCTGCGTATTCTTGAGTGCGCGAGATACATTTGCTGAACGACGAATGACGGAAGGAATAAACTCCGAGAGTGTCCCTGTTAGCAGTATGACGATGAAGGGTGATGAGAAGAGTTCAGTCGATCGAGGACCAAGGCAGACACAACAAAGGGACTAGGATCGGCTGCGGACCTGGACCAGCAAACTGCGTACCTGGAGTTCATATCCCACCCAAGGTCGCAAGTCATAGAGGAATGCGGTGGAAGGGCAAACGCGAAGACCCCGCAGACTGAGATACAGTCTAGGGGCCAGAGACTACAAACATCAATCAAGGAAAAAAGACTGGGGTGAGTATAACACCAGGCACATCTCCTGAAAGCGCCACATCAAGAACCAAAAACTGCTGGCCAGCATATGGGCGCCTGGCAAACCTCAAACACAATTCCGACATCTAGATAGGAACGTTTCAGAACCCTGTACACCAGTAGTACGTTAAGGACCCATATATGGTGTATGCGGAATCCAGTTTGGAAACCCACACCTATCCAAGCATGTAAAGAAACTAGAAAAGTGCAAAAGGTTTGCCAACAAGAATGTCCCCAAGAGTTAAGAGGTAAGTTCCTATGAGAGCGAGAGTTTTGAAGGGGAAATCAACCTAGTACGACACTGGAGGACGAAGAAGATAGGGGGTACATGATAACGACTTCAATACTGAGAAGAAATGACAAGGTGGACAAAGACAGTATGATCCAGAGACTGCGGACACAGCAACAAGTGGGACACAGTTGGAAGCTGAAGACAAGTGACATAAAAGGGAAGTTAGGAGTAATATCTTCCAGCAACAGAGTAGTCAGAGAGGAATAGTATTTGGGCGAACGACGATGTGAGTTGAGAAGGAAAGCATGCCAAACATAGCTTGTAAGCAGAAGGTACGATTAAAGCTCCATGGTCTCATGGAGCGAGTAGAACCTATAGCGTACATGAAGATGCGGGTGGGCCGAGAGCTTTGGACCACACGACCCCCTGCAACCTCAACAAGGTTGAGTACAACTAGGTGAGTACACGTTACGAGAGAGTGACCTTAAGTATCAACCAGTAGAGAGGTGGGAGGCAGGAGACTTGGACTCGACCCCAGCAACCACAACTAGGTGAAACAACTATGTAAGTACACACACACACACACACACACACACACACACACAACACACACACACACACACACAGACACACACACACACAACACACACACAGCTGCGACCAGTGTCCAACAATTTGGCTCCTTGCAGTTCAATCCCACCAAGTGCAAAGTCAGCGAAGATTGGGAAAGGGCAAAGAAGCCGCAGACGGAAGTAACAAGTCTATGGGGTCAGGACTGACAAAGCCTCATCTCCAAATGAAAAAGATCTTGTGGGGTAGTATAACACCAGGCACATCTCCTGAAGCGAGCACATCAACCAATTAACCTGCCTTGCATAGCAAATGGTCGCCTGATCAAAACCTCACTAACAGCATTCCAGAGACTCTAAAAAGGAATCAATCAGGATGTTTATTCTGCTGTTTTCTTACTGTGAACAGCGGTTTATGTGCCGATGAAGGAAGCGTAAGGATACAATGAACCTAACGGAGCCGTCGGACTAGATCTGGCTTATAATTACGGGTAGGAGTCGATTTAACACAAACGGGCAGTGTGAGAGCAGTATACCGAGCAAGCCAGTCCGTGAGACGGGGGAAGTACCTGTGTACCTTCCAATCGGTCTAACCCATCGCGGAGTGAGATGTAGGCGGTGTGACTGATGATGTCCCACCCGACATAGGTAGGACCTACAAGAGGCAAGCAACTCGAATGCCAGCAAATAACTAGTCAGAAGCGCAGACGGCTAGGCTGTCTGTGCTCTGCCCCAGTAACAGGACTGCGCTCCACATTTGCTCGGAACCAAACGCAAAAAAAAACCTCCACCTCGCGTTTCGTCCCGACGCGACAATACTGGTGGGCCCATATGTATAAAGGAATTACACGAAGCTACCACCATGAGAGGGACCTGGCTACCGCCACTGGTTAAATAAAAAAATGGAACAAAAAAATCTACGAGGCAAAAAAAAACACTCGTCACCATCCGGGGAAGAGAAAACTGGTATGCCCCGCGCTGTTTTCAACATCGAGTAGAGAGCCGGGAGACCCGTCAGACACTGGAACTCAAAATCTATACTAATATACACGGTTGTCCGCGAGGGCTTGAACATCATTGACTCACTCGACTACTAACGTTGTTGCACGCTCACATCTGCAAACAATAGACTGACAGTAGCATTTCCCTAACGGTGTATGACATGTTAACTCAGAGGCAGGCACTGCTCCTGACCGTAAAGTACAGGCTTTTTCCTTTAGTTAAAAAAAAACACTGGTGCACATACATACAATAAATACTATATCCAATGGAATTCATTACCGCTGGTTACCCTTCTAAAGTATTTACGATTATACAAATAATTACCATGATGTTTGTCCACCCTGACTCTATTATCGCCCCTATCATACAATGTGTGTGCATTATATACCCATTTCAGCAAGTCAAACAATTAGCATAACTATAGCGTAGGAGTCGGACAAGTCATAGTACGTCAAATGTCAAAAAATGTACTGTTGACTATTGTTTCGCAGGCCATAAAGTATGAGCCCTACTGTGGCCGTCTTCTCCGAGTATACCAGTAGTGAGAAGGGTAACGTTTGTTTCCCTAACATTAGTCTGATCTGTGGCGTTTGCAACGCACAGCCCGTCAGCCTCTACTTCGGCCTCATATGGTCCACATACTTCAAGTGCGGAACCAAGGTGGCGGCTTCCTTGATAGCTCTCCCGTAGCAATCTCCTCACCTCGAACTTATAGCCACGGAGCCTGTCGTAGACAACGGTAAGGACCCACAAACGTTGGAACAAGTTCTGTGCATACCTGGGTCTGCACTGGGTTGAGCAACAAAACTTGCAACCTGGTTCCACTTTGCTATTCCTTGGCGCGGCATTGCGCTCTGACAGTGTGAACCTAATCAGTAGCTTTCATAAGGTTCTCACGTATCCCCCTCTGGAAAGACAAGCCTGCGTTGATCTCTCATCTTTACTACACTGGGTTATCATATCGTAAGTAGGTCTAGGTGGAGTAAACAGAATTTCATATGGTAAGCGCTTGTCATAGCCATACAAGAGCAAAATGAGAGTCACACCGAGAACGAGCTGTTTGAGGGAGAATTTAATGTACACTGAACATCTGGGATAAGCCTCAGTCCCATGAAATAACAACTTGGGTTAACGAGTTACTTCTGAGCACCTCCAGGACTTGGATTTGTACGTTCCAGCAAGACCATACTCGCAGGTGAGGTCGTTGAGCTACTGGCACGCATGATGAATGTTGCGATAATCTGGAGCAAAAGATCCTAGCATTATGCCATTTTTTATAAACTCAGACCCATTAGTCTGACTATAAGGCGATACACGAGGTGCACACACGTAATGACGACAAAACAACATCTCACGGGGCAATAAACGCTACTTGCGACCCGTTTCCAGCGGCTTTAAATCAGAATGGGTACTAATTCAACTGTACCACGCGTCAAGTATCTACCATTACACAGCAGGTGCTTAATTCCCTCTCCGAGGTCGAAGAAGTTTCTCGTACAACAGGGTCGGATCAGTAAGTTCTCGATCCCAGGGCATTCCTTTGTAATGAGATACTTTAGAATGGGGTTCGACCTGAATGGTACCTTGGTGCTGTCAGAGGCAGACAAACACACTGGTGTACATGCTTGGCACATGTCCGATCCATCTTATGCCAGAAATATTTCAATTCGTGCCTGTCTTGATACTGCGGTTTCTTCCCGGGGTGCGCTACACCTGGACATTTGTGGATCAACCTAAGAGTAGCCTGGTTTCATGGACCTCGGGAATACCAGTTGAGTATATGCGGTTCTGCCAGTTCCATCGCAGCTGTGCCACACGGCACAGTACTTACTCCTTGGATGACCAACATAAATCCTTCAGTGAACGGGAGAATTGACCTGAAAAGCCGAACGTCCTCCTTTGGTAAGGAAACGAAGGGACTGGAGACCCACTAGGGTTCCTGTCGTTGGGCTTCTCCATCTCGAGATCCTCAACAGAGAACGATATTGCCAGACACTGTGCCACGAATGCTAATATGTTCGACGAAAATGGCGTCAGCTACAACATTTAGCTTAACCTGGGACATAGCAAATTTCAGGTGTCTAGTCCATTGCACGTGAGCGAACCACCGAGGCAATGCTTTCCCCGAGAGGTCTATTTGCAAAAAGAAGCATTAAGGGTAAATGAATCTTATAAAATCTTGATAGCATAATGATAATATATCTATCCCGAAAATAAACGCAGGGCCCCATACAATAGCTAAAGGCTTCTACTCTGTCACTGAATAATTGACTTCCGCTTAGTAGATCACGTGCTAGCAAGGCATATAAGGCTGTTCTGTCATCCATTAGATTCTTGTGACCAGACTGCACCGATCCAACATGCTGGCATCAGTCGTCAAAGTAAATGCCTTGGTAGAATTCAGGTGAAACTAAGGGATGAGGGGCATGATGTTAACTTGTTTCCTAAGAAATGACAAAAAGCCTCGTTCCCTGATCGCCACGGTCCACTCAAAAGGGGCATCCTTCCTAGAGTAAGCGTGTCAGGGGTTGCAGCAAAGAGTGGAGAAAACCATGCGATAAAGGGCGGTAGAAACTCCGTCCAGCCTATGAAGGACCGGACTGCATCCGCCGTCATTGGTGTCTGGGGAATTCTGCACGGGCCGGATTTTAGACTCGTCCGTCTTTTATGCCATTCTGAGTTACTATCGTTGACCACCAGAAATTTTTATTCCATTTCCGAGGAGGAAATGACATTTGGAGAGCTTTACCTTAAGCTTTGCCAGAGCTAGCCTGTCCAATACCCCTGTCAAGTTTTCTCAAGATGTGACGGGACATCTTGAGTGACATGACTATAGATCATCCAGGTAACATGAGCGTGCCACCCTAGGAGGTACGTGAAAAATGACGCTCATCAAACGCTAAACGCGCATTGAGGGCCTATCCGCGCAAGCCGAAGGGCATCCATCCCTGAACTGGTAATGACCAGTTTGGAGAGAGAAAGCTGTCAACTTCTCTACTACCTCATCATCTCGAGGGGGAACTGCCAGAACCCCTTGAAGAAGAAAACCAAGGATCGACAAGAAGACCTTATTTCGCCGAAGTGTCTGGAACAGGTCGTTCAGAACTGGCAAGTGGAAAACGGTCTGGGATGGAGTACAATGCATTACAGTTTCCTGTAATCAATAACAGGCGCCAGTTCCGCGATCTTTCTGGAACCAGAATAAGGGAGACATTCCACGGGAAAAGTGGACCTCTTCCTCAATATCTCCATCACGGAGCATCCGTGTAATGAGTTCTCTTCGGCGAAGACTCTTTGCGCATGTGGGCAGGCGTACGCAGGTACATAAAATGGGTTTCTTAGTACCTTATGTCAAGTGGAATAACGGTGAGAGATCAGTGAGGTCAACTCCATTGAGCTCACCATCTATGCAACTGCAGAACTGTGCCACGATTGAGAAACCTGGAAAGTTTTTTCGGAACCTCTTCAGATATCTGTCAAAGCTAGATCATCTTCCTGCACAGGCCGGGTGTTGGAAGAGTTCAGCAGCAGACTCGCCCTGGAGAACTACAGACAGCAACTCAAAATGAACTTCAGCTGGGCTTCACCCTCCACGTCTCTAACCGAGAGAGGGAATTAGCTTACAATGGTCAAGCAAAGTGAGGTATTCTTCCGCAGGGTCGGAAATTCCTCGAGACAATGCATAGGTTATGACAACAAGACTTGCCAACTACCACGTTGACGTGTGCAGGATGGTTCAAGGGAGAGGCCCATGACGTCGCATTTGTCGTTGTCAAACTAGCACATGTCTCGCTTCAAAAGCTCTGCTCACGTACACCGTACAGGAGTTACGAGTTTAGCTGACAAAGTGACGTCCATAACTTTGTACAAGCAGTAAACTCGCACGCTGATCTGCCATGAGCAACAGTCTCGACAGTCGCTGAGCCGACATGGATACTGCGGCTTGACACGCTGGTCCCCTCTACAACAGCGCAATGTTAGAGTGAAGGTTAGCCTTGGCGTCGCACAGACTGGTTTCACAGTAAACTACGCGCTGATGGCCAGGAGGTGATGGGGCAACGAGCTCATACCTTATAACAGGTTCGATCTAAGACGAGAAGACCGACCCCGGGGAGAATGTGCATGTGCAAACCAACCACCGGTTTCCAACGAGTTCTAGGCACAGTGTCGTACTCTGAGACGGAGTAGCACGGAGTGGAACCTAGCGCACAGCCCCAGAAGGGCACATCCACGTCCGTTGAATTCCGCTTTCCACTCCAGCAGGATCTAAACGGAATCCTGAAGATCTTGCCATGGTTAAACCCTATGTACCAGGTCACCATGGAAAACATACCATCAACGACAAAGAATTTTGCGGACAGCTTGTGACCCTGACACGACAAACCAATTCTACGTTGTGCGACGGCGAATCCGAGTTCAGCGGTTTACATGAGACTCCTCTCAAGGTCCTGAATGGTGCCAGATGGCTCTGTCAAACATGGCCGCGTGAAGGCCAATGTCTCTGAAAAAAAGGGTGAGCGGACAATTGTTAACTAACGCACCGAACCTGTGTCTAGGAAAAGCTGAACAGGCATATTGCTGTTGGACAGAGTACTCGATGAGTCGTCCCGTACATGGTTTGTCATACGATACATGAAGGCATGACACCGACGAGATCCCGAGTCACAGCTCTCAGGCTCGACACTTGTTACCTGAAGCCTCGAAACCTGGAAGGTACTGGTATAGAGTCCAGCAACAACGTCAAGACACTTCGGTATCCTCACTGTCGGCAAGCGTATCACTGCCCAGGGTGCGGTCGAACTAGCATTTGCGGACAGGGACGGAATAACAGGCGACTACCGAACAGGGTTTACTAACGTCTTTTTCGCTTTAAGATTTGCGGTACGCGCCTCCTTCCCCCGAACAAGTGGAAGGGCTTCTTCGAGCATGTGCATTGCGCGACGACTGCTTGCTGCCACTCAGCGTCAGCATACTTTTCGGCAGTTCTTTTACACTCAGGGAGGTATGAACCTAGGAATTATCTGTGGTAAACACAGATTCCGCTCGCGAGACTGGGCATGGGACGGTGACGGTTACCTTTGATACTGAGCGTGGGGACTGTGACGGTTTTACATTGCGGGGACTTAAGTTTGTAACACTCAGATCGTAGTGCCCTTCGTTTTCCACAGTTGAAACAAGTCACAACAAAACGCTAAGCGGGTTGAGGTTGGGGGTGGTGTCTGCTGCGACGTTCGCCCTGGTTCCAGGAAGTCGATGAATGCCTTTTTGTACAAAGACACCGCGACTGTTGATTACTGTGGTCTCGTATTTTTACTTAGGCGCGTATTAGTGGGACAGGGGGTTAGAACCAATTGTGGGTTGGCGTCTGAACAGCAGCAGCAAAAGTGACTTCCGGCTGGCCGACAGCTCGCGGGGTCACTGCGGGACTGCGCGCTAGCAAGGATGCGGTAGGAGGGATCATCCGCAAAACAAGCTGCAAAACCTTATCTCATGCTCGGACGTGGGCTTCTGAGAGCGAGTCATACATGGCGTCATAAATTCACTCCAGAACGTTCGTGTCTAGAGGGCCGTAGTCCTATCGCATCAATGGCACCCAGAGGGTTAGGGCGGAAATCCCTCCGAATGATGCCGACAGCCAGCATGGGGATGGAATGTCTTTAATAGCCACAACTAAGGCCAATCACCATCCGCCCACTTGTGTGTTGACTGCATCATAAAGTCCCGTGGCGGACTTGCTCGAAACGGCAAACGCAAGCCAGGGGGCTTTCCGTGCCCGATTACATTCGGCCAAGACGCTGGAGTAACGAGTCAATGTAATGGCGTTGGCCGAACTACGAAAATAACGCTAATTCCTCCCTATAGTCACCCCAAGACTGAATCTTACAAACGCGAACTTGAGCTGCACAAAGCAACCTATATACACCCGGGTGAGATCCACTGGCTGCAACAGCAGTATCACGAATGTGTAGTCTCGTTGCTATCCGTTGGGCTATCAAATAGAGCCTGAACAGTCGCACTCGACTGACTGCAGCCATGCTCTAAACAATATTGACACGACCGTCAAAAATAAGGTCCGGTATGACGATGAAGTCCGGCCCACTGGTGGTCGAGGCTTTGAGCCACAAGTTGTACCAAACTGTCCGCTGGGGGCTTCGAGAGCGCTCCGCGTGACTCAAGCTGGCGAGAGGCACACATTGCTAGCACACAGCGCAGCAGAAATCTGAGAGGTGAGGGTGGTTAGAAAAAAAACGGCATGGACCCACTGCGATGACCTTAGTCATGACGTCGATTTTGAAATGCAAGTAGGCTCCGAAGATGTCAAACAGGTCAGAGCAGAAATGTAAGCACCTGGCTACGTTCAAAGACAGAGTCCAAAGAGAACTTCAGCACCAACAGTACCATAAGGTAAACTGCTTAAGTGATAGAAATAATTTAGAAGCAAGAACCAACAATAAAAAAGGGAAATAGTATGATAGCACTCGTGAAAACGAAATTAAGATATGTATGCAAGTGTGAATTTACTACACGGGGAAGTGCACAAAATGAAGCTAAGGATAGAGTCAATAATTTCACCAGGAAACTGGCAACAAACTTAGGAAAATGAATTGAACATATGTAAACACTGGTAGCAAAAATTGCACAAAATTCTAAAATAAACCAGGTACTAACACAAACAACTAAACTGTGGTGCTGCATGAGTCTCTTTAAAAAGATTGCGGGTGCTAGCAGTAGCAAATTGAAACGCAAAAAAAAAGGTAATTCACTTGCACAAGGGAAGTTGGCACAAAAAAAGAATATCAGAGTATGGAATAGTGCCAAAAATCACACAAAAAAAAATACACTGACCAGGACCCTGTGCACCGTGTACGTTAGGCCCATATTGGAGTATGCGGCACCAGTTTGGAACCCACACCTAGCCAAGCACGTGAAGAAACTAGAGAAAGTGCAAAGGTTTGCAACAAGACTAGTCCCAGAGCTAAGAGGTATGTCCTACGAGGAGAGGTTAAGGGAAATCAACCTGACGACACTGGAGGACAGGAGAGATAGGGGGGACATGATAACGACATACAAAATACTGAGAGGAATTGACAAGGTGGACAAAGACAGGATGTTCCAGAGATTGGACACAGTAACAAGGGGGCACAGTTGGAAGCTGAAGACACAGATGAATCACAGGGATGTTAGGAAGTATTTCTTCAGCCACAGAGTAGTCAGTAAGTGGAATAGTTTGGGAAGCGATGTAGTGGAGGCAGGATCCATACATAGCTTTAAGCAGAGGTAATGATAAAGCTCACGGCTCAGGGAGAGTGACCTAGTAGCGACAGTGAAGAGGCGGGGCCAGGAGCTCGGACTCGACCCCCGCAACCCTCAATTAGGTGAGTACAACTAGGTGAGTACACACATACAAACTCACACACACACACACACACACACATATGCACACACACACACACACACACACACACACACACACAACACACACATCATATATATATATATATATAACACACACACACACACACACACACACACACACACATACACACACACACACACACACACACACCACACACAACACACACACTCACACACATATGCACACACACACACACACACACACACACTCACGCACGCGTGACAAGAATGCATCATTGATGCATCACCTGACATCAAAGTGCTAACAGAGACAAAACTTACAGGGATAATAACAGATGCAGTTTTTCCACCTGGATATCAGATTATGAGGAAAGACAGAGAGAACAGAGGAGAGGGAGGAGTAGCATTGCTCATAAAAAAACAGTGGAGTTTTGAGGAGATGGGAGGAATGGACAGAAGGGAAACAGACGACTTCATTGTAGGAACACTTCAGACTGGGGGTCCAAAGGTGATGATAGCGGTGATGTATAACCCACCACTTAGCAGGAGAACAAGAGAAGAGTATGATGTGCACAATAGGGCAATGGTGGATACATTAGCTGAAGTGGCCAGGAGGGCTCATATGGGTAGGACAAAATTGCTTATAATGGGGGATTTCAATCATAAAGAGATTGACTGGTAAAACCTAGAGCCACATGGGGGACCAGAAACATGGAGGGCTAAGATGTTGGAGACTGTATTGGAGAACTTCATGCATCAACATGTTAGGGATACAACCAGAGAGAGAGGAGAGGATGTTGCAGCAAGGCTGGATCTCATATTCACCTTGAATAGTTCAGACATAGGGGATATCACCCACGAAAGACCCCTTGGCGCTAGTGATCATGATGTCGTGAGTTTTGAATATCTTGTTGAGTTAAAAGTGGAGAATGCAGCAGCACGAGAACAAAGAGAGAAACCGAACTTCAAAAAAGGGGACTACATAGGAATGAGAAGTTTCCTGCATGAAGTGCAGTGGGAAAGAGAACTAGATGGAAAGACAGTAAATGAAATGATGAAAATAGTAGCCACTAAGTGCAGGGAGGCAGAGGAAAGGTTCATACCAAAGGGCATCAGAAAAAATGGTAAGGCCAGAGTGAGCCCATGGTTTAATTGGAGGTGTAAAGAGGCCAAAGTCAAGTGTGCTAGAGTATGGAAAAGGTATAGAAGGCAAAGGACTCAAACAAAAAGGAGCTGAGCAGAAGAACCAGAAACGAATATGCAGGGATATGGAGAGAGGCCCAGAGGCAATACGAGAACAACATAGCATCAAAAGCCAAATCTGAACCAAAGTTGTTATACAGTCACATTAGGAGAAAAACAACAGTCAAGGACCAGGTAATCAGACTGATGAAAGAAGGAGGGGAGCTCACGAAGAGTGACCAAGAAGTATGTGATGAACTAAACAAAAGATTTAGAGAAGTATTCACAAGAGAGTCAGGAAGGCTTCCAGCAAACTGTGGAGGTAGGGTGCACCAGCAGGTGCTGGACACAATACACATAACCAAGGTAGAGGTGAAGAAACTGCTAGACGAACTCGATACCTCAAAGGCGGTGGGCCCAAATAACATATTTCCATGGATACTGAGAGAGGGAGCAGTGGAACTGTGTGTGCCGCTAGCAGCAATCTTCAGTAAATCTATCGAAACTGGGCAGTTGCCTGAGGCGTGGAAAATAGCACATGTAGTTCCAATTTTTAAGAAAGGGGACAGACAGGCAGCATTAAACTACAGACCAGTATCACTGACTTGTATAGTATGTAAAGTCATGGAAAAGATTATCAGGAGTAAAGTAGTGGAACACATTGAAAAGATTGGGTTCATACATGACAGTCAACACGGCTTCAGAGATGGGAAATCCTGTGTCACAAATCTACTT